ATATATATATATATATATATATGTATACTGTATATATATTGTTCATGTCATGGTCAGTCTATATATAGAATGTATAGAAGAATATTGAAGAATACAATTGGATGAATAAGACTCCTGGCTGTCAACCACTAAGGTGTTAGAATATTACTTAACACGTGTTACAACAACATTCACTAAACACCGAAAACCCATTCAGGAGTTTTCTAAAAACTGTTTTTGTAGAAGTCCCCCTTATGTGGGCTGCCATTGCTGGCCTCCTTTGGAAAGGTTTAGTTATAGTTTCAGTACTTCTGTGTTATAATGCAACAAATGAAAGCCTATTCTAGTAGAAAAGGAGCAATATTTGGGCTGATGGCCCAGTTCCGGCAGCTCTTCACAAAACGGGAGACCCTTCAGAGAGAGGGGACACCCAAAATGAGAAATCCATGTAAAAGAAGACTAAAAATGAGTACCAGGTAATTGTCTTAAAGAGTCCAAAAAAAACTGAATTGGCTTCATGAATAGCAACAAGAAGATATGCACAGTCAACGCGTTTCGGGGATCAGGAATCCCCTTCACCAGGGCTTAAACAATGCACAACAGGACACTGCTGGACTTACAGCCCCTGCAGACAATCCTATTCCTGCAGAAAATACCAATTTTGGGTACACGATCCTTTAACAGCGCGACTGTGGGTAAAACATTAGCTCACAGGTTCTTTAAATTCAAGTCACAACCTCAAGTGTCTGATGATGAGGTAGATGGAAATAGTTCAGGAAAACAGTTGCAGAACCTGTAAATCATTGCCAATATGAGTAAACATAATTAAACATGAGTGGAACTGTTGATGAAAGGAAAAGTTGTAGATGTAATCCTACAGTATTTCAAGGTTTTTGAAACAGGTTTTTTTTATCCACAGTCCAAAGATCTGAAACACAAGAACTGTCTATTGTGGAAAAACGCATTTATGACTCAGAAAGCTATTGAAGCTGAACACTGAACTCTGCCACACAAAAAGATATTTAGATGGGGCTGGAAATGAATGAAATTACTGTCTGCCTGCAGACAGTCACAGACTAAGTAACTGAAAGAGCTCTGTTATTTTTCCCAGGAGAGAATTTGTCGTCACTGTAAGCTGGATATAATAACACATAAATCTGATACCAAAGAAAGTTTATTATTGATGAATGAGTCAGCACATGATAACCTTTATCACAGTATGTAATTAGAAACTGTAAAATGTTACAAAGGAAGGAGGTTATGTTCAACTTCATCACATATGGGTAAATATTCTTGTTGCCATTGTCCTGAATCTTAGAACATCTCAAACTTTTGTCTATAATCTTCCCCAACATATATATATATATA